TTTAATCCACTGGGCTACGAGACAATAGCCTAGTGGATTAAAGCGTTGGTTCATGAATTTGGTAACATAGTAATTGTGAGTTCAGTCTCTGGGAAGAGGTTACACTCGTAGATTAAATAAAGAGTTCAGTTCAGAATTCCCTGTAGGTTACACAGATCGATATACACCTGATGAAGACCAGAATCACAACTGCCGAAACGTTGTGATAACAACAACAACATAAATAAGGCAGTAGTCCGAATATAAATATGTAAATATAAATCAACAGGTTGGAAAAAGGAAAAGTAGAAAATAAAATAAATAAACGGAGGTTCTGTACTAACAAGTCTTTGGTTTGAAAAATAAATAAAAATAACCAGCAGAATCGTATATTCTGGACGCGAGAGTATTTATATTTGAAGACTTCGTGGTACTCGAAGTATCATTTCGAAAAATTCCTTTAAAAATGTTTTCTTTTATACAAACCTTAACCAATATAGTAAAATCAGATGTGAATATTCTTGCGCTTTAGTTCTAAGTTAGACTTTCATACGTTGAATTGTCAATTATGCATCTAAAGAGAACGTTTTTATTTTATATTACTCTCAATAGAGTAGTCAACGATATTAAATAAATCTTCCAATTTCCATTGGTTAGGGTCACTGTTTATCTGATAAAAATAGATTTTACCTTTTAACGAGTAAAAAGTAAAAGTCATTAGATTCGCGCTAATCTAATGGCAGTATTATGACCTGAATAACTAATTCCTCTGCACTGAACCTCGTCACCGTTTCTCGTTCACCACAATCACTGTATAGTCCCCACTGCAGCTTCTCTTCACTAATGTGTATATGAAAACAACAGTGAGTAAGGAATTAAGTTAATAAATTAACATTTTTTTTAGAGAAAGAAATCTGTTAGTTTCAGATCATTAATGGTTCACTCCATTAAAGTAAATATTCATTGTAATCTTTTTTTTTTCTGGTTAAGGCAATAGGTTTTTCATTAGGATTATTTTGTGTACACGTGAGAATATGTTTGCCTATTTTCAATGCTAATTATCTGTGTTCGAGCCAAAGTAAAAGTCGAGATTTCAAACGCTGATTTTCAAATTAAGCAATCCCTCCCTATTGGAAGATTGACAAAAAATCTTCCTACCTGTACCAGTCTAAGTTAACTTTAGTATATATTTACAATCACTCATATTATTTACGATTTTGATTCCGATTTTTTTTTCAAAGATTGTGATTAAAAATGTAAATCTTGCTCAAGAGAAATCCTAATTGGAACATTTGTCGAAATATTTTGAAATAAATTTTATTTTGTCTTGAGTTCTCTTACATTAATGAATCCGATATAAGTTAGTGACATTTTGTAGATGGCAATGATGATATTAAAAACAATTTCTCTCAAGATAACTCTTCGGCTGGTGAGTTTGTTTTTTTAAGCATTTCACCCCAAGCAAGGCGGGAAGCCACTAGGACGCAAGGGGTTACAGAAAATTTATAGCAAGATCAGATAGGAGTGATAGAAGAAAGGATGAGGGTAGTGGATAGATTAAGGCAACTGGAGACTGTTTCAGTGATGGCTGTAAGCACATCGGCAGTAGATCGGGCAAAGCGGAAACCATGTTGCTTGTCTGAGAGCAGATTATGGGATGTGAGGTGGTTAACCACCCCGGTATTGATTAGAGCTTCGAAGAATTTACCGAAGAGGGGAAGGACACTGATAGGACGGTAGTTGGAAGGGTCAGAGGGGTCGCCGGAGTTCTTGAAGACAGAAACGATCGAAGAGGACTTCCAGAAGTCAGGAAAACAAGATTCCTTGAGGCAGTAGTTGTATAGTTTCGAAAGGGCGGGCGCCAGTTGAGGCGCGCATTTCTTCAAGACAATGGCTGGTATCCCGTCACCACCACTAGCTTTGTTGGGATCTAAATTAGAGATAGCGCCCAGTACCAAAAATGGGGTTATGTTTAACCCACTCAATATGGCCTCAGTTCTAAGAGGGAAGTCGGGTATAGGTACACCGGAAGAGTCGAGCGTCGAGTTGAATGAAAATTTCCGAGCAAAGCATTCAGCCTTGTCGGTAGAGGAGGTCAGGACTTCGAACTGGTTGAATAAAGGGGGTATAGAGGGTTTGCAATTGTTCAATACGCTCTTGCAGAGACGCCAATAATCTTTGGAGCCAAGTTTGCGAGATGCAATACGTTCCTTCATTCGAGCCGCAAATAGTGACTTAGCATCATTGAGGACACGCTTACATTCGTTAAGGGCGGATTCAAAGAGACGTCTATTGCAGTTATCTTGAGAGAAATGAATCTGTCCTGTTGTCTTATTCTAGAAGTGAATCATTTCGTAGATGGGATGTACGCAGTGGTGGCAATAGTTAACCTTTTAAAGGGGTTAAATCCTGATGTATTTTTTTTTTAAATTTACCCAGCTGTATATTTTCAGAAAAAGTAAATATAATAATATCCAAATTGCAGTGACATAATTTATACATTGAGAAAATGTAAAGATAGCGATGGAGTGGGGCCGTATAAAAATTATTCAGGGACCAAGCAAGCAGTTTTTAGAAGAATGACTTACTTTTTTTTTTAAGTATATATCTTCATTTTTAGGTAAATCTTCTTTTTGGTTTTTATATATTGTAAAATATCTGAATGCTATTTTCTAATAAATTTAATCTTTGCTACGTTAAATTTATAGATTATAAATACATTTCAATTTTTGATGCTATTTTTTGGTCTGTTTTTTTGTTTATGTTAGCTTACGGCTAAAATTATTATATATAAAAAATATTACATATGATGCCACAATAGTAGGTAAAATTACGCCCGAGAAGAAACGCTATTTCGACAGAACAGATTTTGTTTGGTCTATTTTGTTTTACGGCATATCAACTTTAGTGGGTTATGTAATGCTGACAAGATTTTTTGGATAGGTTCGTATGAATAGAATATGTATTCTTTGTAAGAAATAAGTTTGTAGATCAAGTTTCCATGACGTATTTTTGTAAAGAGGGTTTTTTGTCGAGAGTCAACTGTATTGCTGGTAATTTTTTTCCAAAATTGTATTGCTGGTAATTTTTTTCCAAAAATGTATTGCTGGTAATATATTTTTAAATGAATTGCGGGTATTTTTACTATAAAAATTTATTTTTTATACTTTCATAGTGTTTTCACCTCAGTTTTGGGGTTAATTATTTGTTCATAGCTAGGATTCCTAACCGGTGCTAGCACCCCGGGTCAGGGTAGACCTGGGAACAACAGCAATTAAGAGGTGGGTCAACGTTTCTCAAAATCTCCCGATCAGAGACCTTGCTGCCGAATGTAGTTTGTCGTTAAACACTGGACGCACATAACCGGTAGTACATATAGAGTGTGTCAATGCTACATTAAACAGAGGATAATATTGTAATTCCAAGTGCCTTCTTACCTAAAATCTTTTTAAAAGGGTTTTTCTTTCGTCGATACTATGATTAAACGATATATTTTTCTATATATCGTATTTACCTTGCTGTTCTGGCAAGTAGTATAAGGTGGGTTTACATCCAGAGTTTGACAACGTGTAATTTCATTCACGGACGTTTGTCTTACCTGTGATTGCTTCAGAAGTTGCCATCTGAAGCCTCGACATTGTTCCATCCGCCTGACTTATAAGATTTATTGCTTTTATAACAGTAAGTGACAGTGAGAGATGACATATTACGTCAGTAAAAGACATAGATCCAATGTGTGAGCTACTTATTGGATATGTCAAAGTCAAAAAATTAAAGAAATTTAATTCTCAGGGTAACGTTGCCAGAAAAGATGGAAAATGTGACACAGAAAATCTAAAGTGTACAGAAATAGCGGAAGATGCCTTCCAGAAACTAAATATTATGACATATGGAAATATCGTTTGGGAAAAAAAGAATTCTGAACTGCTATGTAATATCTAATCTTTTACATGGTGGTAAATACTAGACACTTCGGTCACAGATTAAAGAGAGACTTGAAGCGACTGAGATGCTTTTCTACCAATGAATGTTAAGAATACCATGGACACAAGATGCTAGTAACGAGGAAGTTTTAAATTAAATTGGAATAAGGAAATTTATACTTACAATCAGAAAGCGATAGATAAAATTTCTGGGTTACATAAAAATAAATTACCACTCAGAAGACATTTGAAATTAACACTTAAGGAATATATTGAAATCAAGAGGAAACGGTTATAACCTACTGAAGGAATTCGTGTGAATGAATTGCAGAACAGAGACAACGAGAAAAGGTAACATATGAAAAATTACTTAGAGTAACAAAAGACAAAGTGTGGCGGGCCATGATCGCTTACATCCTGAAAGGAACTGGCGCATAAAACAAAAATGAGAAAATGATAGACCGCAAAATAGTTCGCCTAAGCAAAAGTAATTGCGAGTGGAAAGGTTTTGAGAAGCCTTTTCATATATGATAACCGGTATACAGAGTTCGATCTACACTAGGAATTACACTAGTGTCGTTTAGTGTCAGACTAAACTCAGCTTACTAAACATCTTCTTCTTCAGCTTCACGTCCTATTCATTAGGATTCGCGTTTTTAGATTCGTTATTTGGTTCATTAAACTGGTTGTACGATGGAACTCACTTTCATTTACACCTAGTTTCTTAGCTAATGTTACGAAGATGGATTTTGTACGTGGCTAATGTTGTATATTATGTTTATTACTTTGGTGATCCTGTCGATGCCTAAATCGTCTAATTAATTGATTTATTCATTTTCTACGGCTTATAAACCCATTGCAAATTATTTAAAGCCAGAAAATATTTTTAGACTGTTAGGAAATGTTTTTGGGGATAATAATTATTTAGTCATACAAGTCTTATTAATTAACCCATAGCTGGGGGAGAAGAGGTTGAATCATACCTTTCCCAATGGCATCTGCGCGTAAGTGAATATGACGAACCAAACTGGACTTGGAATTCAACTCTCTGTTTAACAATTCAGAGTCATTATCAATTACACCACCCGCACATCTAAGCTTACAGCACCTGGTATTACCAAGCGGTCATTCATCTAGATAGCGACCAGGCTCAATGTTGCTTAACTTCGGTGATCGTACGGGAACCGGTTTTTCAATGTGATATGGCCGTAAGTCCCCAAATCGGCTGAGAGTATTTCTGTAGGATCACATCTGGCATTGATGCTTTGTTTCTCGTCATCTTCTCGAATGCTGATCTTACTTTAGATTTTAATATTTCTGGTTCTTCCTTATATTATTATTACTACCAATAATAATAATAGTAGTAGTAGTAATAATAATAATAATATTAGATATGACTATTTTAGTAGTAGTAATAATAGTAGTAATAATAATAATTATTATTACTACTACTACTACTACAAATAGTCATAGCTAATCTCTCCATAAATAGGTTAATACTCATTTTCTGCGGTGGACACGTTTAAGCCTACTTAAATGATAAAAAATAAGTTTTCATCATAAAATTGATAATTATTTTCACTCTAGCTATTATTTCTGGTATATCAACTGGTTTAGGCAACGTATTGTATCGTGTTTAATTATTTATACTGAAATAATCCCTTGTAAAATATACGATCAGGCTGCATTTAAAACACTATGCAAATTTTCTTATATAGAAAGAATTCACATCAAGGGCCTAATTTACTTAAGTGTTTTTCATAAATTTTTGGACATTAATTATTGTATCAGTTTTAGTTTTTAATTTTCATTTACTTGTTTTCTTTACCGTATGAAAGTTCACGCCACCGACTCACCCCCCCCCACAAAAAAATAAAATGGATATTGTTTTACTCAAATTATCGTCAGTCAAGTGCAGAGTGGGTGTCATGGTTCCCCACATTAATCCGACCTTGTGTCACATCTCATTCTCGTCGGGGAATGAGTAAACACTGAGTGGGTGTCATGGTTAACAACATAGAAAACGGGATTCAGTTCTTGGTCGAAGTTGCTTGCACTCACTTTGCACTAATATTCTTTGGAAAAGGTAGGAATCCACTCCATCCCCACTATCTGTGGGCAAATAGCAGAACAGACAGATCTATTTAGACTTGGCTCACAACAAATTTACAATTCTGATTCTAAAGTCGATATGGAACCCCTTAGATAGATTGGTGATTAATGCTACATTATTTCTGCAAATTCTATAGTCAAAACCTCCACCGATTGTAACTGGAAGGAAAACGACGCAGGAAGTCAAGAGAGGGAGGAATGTAGCTGTTTAGCTGCCTTTCTACATTAAAATCATTTACTGTGCAAATCTGTTCTGCACAATACAGACATTAACTGATATTCCTCAGTATTGAACGACCAGTTCTTCAAATTATTCGTTAAGTTATGGTGAAGGAGGAGAAGAGATTGAAGGTATTTGTATGAAAGTACATGCAACAGACTAGGTATGAATTTGAATTTGGCTTGCCGCTTCCACTTTCCAAGTCGAAAACCAGTACGCTTCCCGCACATCTGAGTATATGAGCATACATCTGAAAAGATGACCGTATCCACCATTTCAGTTTCCTAAGAAATGGCTTTCTTCTGGCTGTGATGAAAATACTGAGCTTCTTGGACTGATTTTAATACATTTTACCACAGTTGTCGTCGAGCAATATGATTTTTTATCTTCTTTCATCATTTGAAGATAATTCTGATGACCCATGTCAATAGATGCGAGAAAAGAAAATATTCAAATACAACTTATGGTTACATCTATCTAATTCAACAGTAAAACGGTGAGAGCTATTTGCTTAAATAAATGCGGTCGAGATACCAAGGAGGAGTGTTCATTAGAACAAGTGTCATGAAAATATTTAAAGCAAAGAAAAGAGGAAGCCCCGTTACGCTGTTGGAAAAGTGAGTGAAGTCGAGATGCCATGTCAAGACCGATAACATTGCAGACTCTTCTTTGGGTTTTGTTGAGAATCTCAAGATATATAGCAAGAGTCCCAGGACATATATGGCAGCGATATTCAATGCACAAGTGAATGGGAGATTTATAAATGTGCAAGATGGGTACTGGCGAGAAAAATGACACAGTGAACCAACTTTCCTAGCATCAGACCTAAAAATTAATTCAATATGATTACTCCACTTTATGTCAGTGGAAAATGCGAGACCAAGAAGGCAAATGAGATACTCCCCAGGAGGTTAACATCAGCCATGTTGATGGAAGGCAAAATGATAATTAAAAGTAGTAGTTTTATTTGGGAGGCGTTAAAATTTACAAGTCATTTCTTGTCTCATTTCGAGAGCAGCTGCCGGTTTTACTTTGAAGTACCTATCGGACTTACTATTAAGACATGAGTAAATCGTTGTGTCATCAGCATAAATACCGATTTAGGAATTGATGACATCGGGAAGGTCGTTGATGAAGATAAGAAACAACATAGGTCAAAGGATAGAACCCTGAGGGACCCTTGCATTAATGTGAAATGATCTAGAAGCGTAGTTGCTTGACGCGACTTTTATTACACGAATTGTTAAAAACAGTTGGATTAAGTCAAATATTCGTCCAGCAATACCTTGAGCACGTGAAGAAGGCCAGCATGCTACACACTGTCAAACACCTTAGAGATATCTAAAGCCACAGCCCGAGCTTAGCCGTTCTTATCTAAAGCTTGATAGTCAAATTCAATAATGACTGTTAACCAATCAGCTGTTGACCTAGAGAAACGAAAGCCATTTGTTTATCTGAAAGATGGTCGCGTGAAGTGAAATATTTAATCAATTCGGAGTTAAAGTATTTATGTTGTCATTTCTTTGTCGTTTTTTTAAGTTAAATAAACAAATGGAAGCATGGGAAACTGATATAATTGTAGATTTCTTTTTTTTTATTTCTGGTTATATGATTCTGTGATTGATTTTAGTAAGGTGTTGTCCATGAAAAACGAGTTCCGTGTTCAAGTCACATTGGAAGCTGACACATTATTTTAGGAATAAAATATAGGCTTTCAATGGGATTTGAACTCGCATCTCAGAAAATATTCAACCTGAATTTTGTGAGACACTGTAATAAGCTGAAGGAAACATTAGTCAAACCTGAATAATATATTTTGTGATCTTTATTTGTTTTGATATTGCTCTTTTTGCACTTTACTTTTAGTTTAAACGGTTCTCATTCCTCTTTTCTTTCTCACCCATCGTCATCCTCTTCCGATCTGTCTCTCTTTCTCTCCACATCTCGAACACACACTTACGCACGCACACACGTACATACTATCCCTTTCTCTCTTTCCACTGACGTCCTGCAAACACTCTTTGATTTCAAGTTTGACACTTGCTGAGTTATGAACCAAAGGGCGGAAACCAGTGTTAAAATAAAAACAAAAATGTTTTACTTGGAAGATTCATAAGTACTTGGTAAAAGAATAAGATGAACCAGTTATCAAACATAAATAAGGTTCTACATGGCTGAACTGCGCACGTGCCATAAACCATCTTTTTTCCTTCTTTTTTTCCGCTCCACATCGCGCTGACGTTCAAACAAAAATGAATTTTTTTCTTCCCATTAAAGATATTTTCTTATTATCTTACTTTATTAATTAATTATTAATATTTCGGCAAAATATTTGTACTAGTAACCGAGAACTGAGCACCTGGCTTCCTACAATATGTCTAATTGAAAATAAACACTCGTGTTTCATGGAGTCAACGTCAGATCTCTTTCAAGAGGTAACTTATTTTTTCAAAGTATTTTACCAACAAAATTGGGTATTGGCTTGTAAACAAAGTCATATTTAGCCTGGAAGACCCATTGTAAATTTGCAAGGTTAATTTATAAGAAAATAAAAATAAGACATGTCGGAAAATTTTGTGTATTAATTATATTGAAATTAAAATCAAATTTGATATGTGTATCATTTTTGGTGAATAGCAAAGTGATTTTATTTAACTAGGTTAAATTCAAGCCAATAGTTTTTTATCACCTTCTCAGATCAGTTCAGAGTTCTTTAGTTTCCATGGGTATCCATGTTAACACCGCATCACCGGATACAACGCCTCTCATGGGCTACTGTCATGGCTACTTGGACGCTTCAGGATTGGCAAGTAGTGGGTTCCTATGATCAGTTTGATTCGGGTTCAGGGTTTAAGTGGAACAGACCCCATAAGCACCGTGAAAATTGGGGTTGGTTTTATAATGGTGCTTTCATGTGTCAGTTCTTAAAATGTCATTAACTACCATAACATTAAGCTACTTTGCACAGCTTCGTGACCATTTGCACTCATTCATGAACTCCAACAACGATGGGATATTCAAGAAGGATAATACACTGTGTCATCGGGCCCAACTTATCCAGAATTTATTTAAGAAGCATTTTGGAAAATTCTGATGAATGGTGTATTTACCATGCTCGCCCGACATGATCTCAATCGATAATCTATAGTACGTGGGAAGAGGTCTCTTAGCACGCATGTGAACAGCTATCGAGACGGCATGGCTCAGCATCTTTCCATGAATCTTCCGACTACTTGCAAAATAGACGCCACGTCAAGCTGCTGCACTTCGCCGAGTCTGGGGGTGTCTTACACGATACTAGTCACCTATCTCATTACTTCTGGTATATTACAGTAAGTTTATAACTGGCAAAAGATAGATCTACATAGCATGACCAAGAGACAGATCAAGAAATATAAAGGCAAGAAGACTACGTTGCATCACAAGTTTCTTTGTAATGTGAAATGTAACGATTAATCCGAGTTCGAATGTTAGCCACTTGCGCCGATTGGGAATACACAAGTAATCCAACCGGATGAATATACGACTCATGTTGTAGCAGAGGATTACAGAAACAAATTCTAATTAATCTTTTAGCCAAGGCTTCTGGTTTGTCAATACATACTCAATGGAGAGTGTTGAACAGTCTCACGGAGAATGCAGTATGAAAAGGTCAAGTAAACAAATAAAGCTGAGAAATAAATTCGAGAGAAATCTAAAAAGAAATAAACATCCAGCAAGCTTGTTGAGAGATTATGATTCTAATTACGTTCAAACTATTTTAAACGTTTCCATCTACATTTTCTTGCTTTCTGTTGAAAGCATTTGTTGTGCGACCTTTATGCTCGCTTAAAGCTGAAGAAATACAATAAATAAAAACTTTGTGAGAAACACATTAGCA